AGGTTAGCCAGCAAGGCTAGTCTGATTGGTGGGTAATGATCAGGTGAGCCAGCAGGGCTAGTCTGATTGGTGGGCAAGGATCAGGTTAGCCAGCAGGGCTAGTCTGATTGATTGGTAAGGATTATGTGAGCAAGCAGGGCTCACCATTGGATGGCAGGATCATGTGAGCCAGCAGGGCTCACCATTGGACGGCTCTTCTTGGGGGATGGGGAAGTTAGTCTTTGGAGCCAGGGCAACTCCCAACAAAACCAATTGGTATAAGCACTTCAAAGTACCTTCACCATTACCCAACATGTTTTTTTTTTCCTCAAAATGGTATCCCGCATAGTCAACCAGGTCTTGTTTACCATGAATTTCCTGGTGGAAAACCGTTCAGGAAAAATTGAATACATGGGGAGAAAAACTGCTTGTCATCATGAAAACCCATTCTCTGATGACTAATGTCTTCTTCCTTTGGGATTTTTATTGATTTTCAATAAATGTTTCTGTTTTTCTTTTTGTTTCATCAAATGTTGTGCATTCTGTCTGTGTCCTCTATGGAGTAGGAGGGGGGTGGGGATCTGCTCTTCCTCAGAGAAGCTTCTGGAAGAGACAGGATACTCAGATGCACACCCTCATCTCAGATTCTCTCATTATACCTGAAGGATTCCTCATTCAATCATTACAAAAACAAACAATAAAATGCCTTGAGCCTTCTCAAAATTAGGTGACTCTGTGAAGGTCTCACTCCACAAACTGACTCCATCAGTCTTTCCCTCTCTCTGGAAATTTATATAGCTTTGGGAAATGGGTGTATAAAGGTGCCAGGGAGTTCAGTAGCTTCACATATTTCAAAGTAGGCATGGGAAAGTTGGGGGGGGCTGGTGTGTTACTCTTAAAGTTAGGAAAACCTTGTTGCATAGATTTTTCTAGTGGGAAAAGGAGTATGTTTGTGTTAGTTTTTAGAATGTAGATGGCACCTGACAACCATTCTTAGCTCATTCTTAATGACATGGCAGTGTCTCACAACTCCACATCTGCTTCCACCATTTTCTAGAGCAGCAGCAAAGACAGAACTTGGAGCTTTGTATATAGGTGGGGAACCACAGAGTGCTGTTGAGTGCTGCATGCCCCTGCCCATGGTCACCTGTCTTCCCCTCTAGAACAAACTGTGCATACACTAAAAAACTGATATTAGTGAATGATAAATCTAAAGTGAAATTTGTAAAATAATTGAAGTATGGAGCCAAGAAAATAGGAAGAGAGAAATTGGATGCCATAAAGAGTGCCAGGGACAGGACAGGAAGCTACTGCCTTCCCATGCTAGCTACCAGGCTACCATGAGGAGACCAGATGGACTGAGCTGTTCACTGGGTCAGCATGAACCCGTTCCAGGGTCACTCTGTTGTGGTTCCCAGACTACAGGCCTGGAAATAGCCCTTTATCTTTAACACACGCTAGAGAGAATGTAAAGCCTTCAAGTAAGGTAGGTTAATTTCCTAGAAGTAAATTTAGCAAGTCTGTACCTACACATCTTTGCCTCTTAAATTTCACAACAGATGACTGGACATTTGGTGGAGTACCTAGGACTAGGGAACTCTGGCTGTGACTCAGTCTGGGGACTTTTACACATACACATGGCCTTAGCACTGCTTCCATAAACAAAGTGGATATCTAAAAGGGTAGAGGTCATGGCACAGGGTTTCAAAGCAGTTCTCTCCAGGCTTCTAGAATTTGCTTGTCCAGAGACAAATGGGTGAAGTGATGATCTGACAGAATTTGTATACACAAAGAAAAGTAACCTGTCCAATATGTAGGAGCTGACTAGGCTTGAAGGAGATAAATATTGGTCTCTGCTGGGCATCACTCTTCTTCCAATAGAGGTTTCCTCTTTCAGGGGTTATCCATACAGAAAACCAGGATGGCTGTAAAACAGTGAGAGGTGTGATCATTTATCTGGGATATTCCATACTATTCCACATGCATATTTGGGGTGGGCAATAGGCACACATATAGGGGTCTTATTTTTTCCCTGATGGAGAGTCCTGTGCCAGGAAATGCCAGCAAGGAACAGAATACATAGGTCCTGTCTCCATATATGCTAGGACCCTGAATGTGAGACCAGGAAGTACATTGGAGTATGGTTCAAAAGACCTCTGCTAAACCAAGTCCTGTCTCTCCTAATAACCATTGTAGCATCTAGGGTGGACCCAGCAACAACAGTGGAGCTTGGGACAAGAAGAACTGGAATGGATCTGGAGTCTTTAGCCTATCATTGCTGGATCATCTAAGGGATGCAAACTGTAACTTACAGGAATGAAGGGGCTGAACATGAATCTTAGAGCTCCTGAAAGGCAATGTTGATAAACCAGACTAAAACAGCAAACAAAAAACCCATGGCTCCTGCTGCTGCTGCTCTATTATGAACAGCAAGGTCTGTGAGAAGGAGATACCCCACAAAGACCCAGTTGAGACCTCCAGAGAGACCCGCATTTAGATTTCCAGAAACCCCACAAGATCTACAGAGATTCTCACAAAGATCTCCATAGATATTCCCACTGAGACCACCACAAAGGCCCAAGAGAAGCCCCATCAGGGCCTCCAACCAAAAGATATTCAGAGACCCAAATGACATCCTCATAAAGATTTCCAACACACACCCACTTCAAGAAGAATTTCTCAAGGAGACTTCAAGAGAAACCTCAGAGACAACACACTGAGAAGACAGACCTCCCACAGAGAACTCATATCCATTATTATGAGCCTTTGAAACCACACAAGGACAGGTCTTTTAAACTGCACCTTACCAAAGTGGAAACACAGGAAGGAGATCATTAGCTGAACCTACCTCCTTAGAATGCCGGTATATGTCTGTATTTGTATAATGTCACTTTTCTCCTGAAAAACCTTTTCAGTTTCCATATGCAAGTCTATAAAATCCTTTCCTAATGATCTATAAAACCTTTCTTAAGTTTTCATTAGCTTTCATTGTGATCCACAATTTAGGGAATCACAAGCTCCAAAAAATGAGTATACTTCTGCCACTATCATAACTGAAAACAAAATATTTTGGTCATGCTAGAAATGGAACCCAGTGGGAGTGTCTATGGAGGTCTTGTAGGTCTCTGAAACTCTCAGCATGAGGGCTTTGTGGAAGTCTCTGGAAGTCTCAGTGTTGGTCTTTGTTGGTGGCTGTGTGGAGGTCTCTGATGGGGACTCTGGAGGGTGTCCCTGTCACTGGCCTGATTGCCTTCTTAGAGAAATGCACCAGAATTTACAGTGTGATGTGACCTACTCATGTAGGCAAATGTCCTACCACTGAAATATACCCCAATTTCTGATGAGATAAATGCTTTATTTGTATAATTTTAGTAATCAACCATCAAATTGGCATACAGAACTGCATTTTTATTTGTTGAAGACAGATGTTGAACTCAAAATTACTGAATTTTTAGGTTGGAAAAATGATGAAGTGTGTGCTCAGTAAAGGCACTTGGGAGCAAGGTGAACCAGTAGATTTACAACTGACTCACTCTCATTCACCTTCACCTGCATAAAGGATTGTGCAGCTGCCAAATTTTCTGAAATATATGATATATTTTTAAAAATGAAACAAGCCATGCTCTCAAAAATGATAACTTTTCAGAAACAAGACATTAAAATACAAATCCTAATGTTTCAATAATATAATGCACTCAAGTAGAACTAAACACTGTGACTCTAGACTGTGAAATGGTACACCATGATCAGTCCAAAACCATAGCAGAAGGTGGGCAAGGTGGGCAACCCAGGGGTTGGTAAGCTGTTCTCCTTGTGTCTTCTGTGGAAACTGTATGCACAGTCTAGAAGGGTCCCATAGTGGTGCTGAGCAGTTTCACTTGTTTCCCATTCCCCAAGGCCAATGTAAAAATGTTAAATGGAAAATTTCAAAAATATGTTTTCAACAACTTTATTTTAGAATATATGGTCTATATAATTATTAGTTACTGTTGTTGACTATTGTATGCCAAATTTATGTCAACCTCTATCATAAATGTGTATATATATATATATATGTAAATGCATACATATATACACGTGGAATATCATGGGAAAGTTTTTTTTTATATCATGTAAGCAATTCTAGGTAAAGAAAAGCTGACTCAAGTCAAATATAGTGTCTTGAATAGAAAGGCAGAAGTGTTAAAATGTTGGACAAAACTAAACATCAGATCAGTTTTGAGTCCTAGCTACCATGGCATGCCAGTTTTAAGCCTGGAAATATAAGGAACATTGTCTTCCACTACATTACTTCAAGGGTTCTGAGAGATTATTTAATCAATAATGTATTCTGAACCAAGGTAGCACCTGAAGTTGTAAGTACTTGTTAAGTATGGCAAGTTCAGAAGCAGAAGTATTTAGTTTTGATTTCAAAAGCAATTCCTTAGACACATCTTAGATATAGACAATGTGGTGAAATAAAAGCCTACCCCAGTCAATCCACTGTACACTACCTTTTATACCCTTATGCAATAGGGAAGTTGTTGTTTCACACACAGTTATTTCTAACAGAAGGTTGGTTAGATACACTTGCCAAGGTGAACCAGATATCATGAAGATTCAGTGAATGTTTGGAAATCTTGCAACTTGCTCTCAGACATGATCATCAAATGACATATTTCATGGGACCATGATACTCTCTTCATTGATGCCTCAATATAAAAAAGAGTGGTGGGGAAAACTGCAAATTTACAAATTTTAGAACATGAGTGTTTGTGCTCTCTGGAGCCGAAGTCTATTTTTAAAACTATCCTATTGTTTTCAGGGGTTATCATGTTTATGTTCTTTTTATCAGGGTCACATTTTCCCTCTCAATCACCATATGAATATTTTAGCAGTGTTCACATTCTTCCTCATTAAA